TTTTTTTTTTAATCATTAGTAATATGCTAAAAAAAAAAAAACATTACTTCAGTAACACATTCAAAATTTAAAAACCAAACCAAGGATATAACATTTGGAGTAGAGACCTTATCTTTGCTCCTAATTATCTGATTTTAATGATTTTTTTTTGTTTTTTAGGTAATTTAATTTTACCATCCCTCGTAACTTTTTTCAAGCTTCTTTTCGTTGAAGTATGTTATATAGATAGATTTGGAGGGCGTCGAGAAAATGACTTTAGCGAAGTTTCATTGAAATCTGTACATTCGTTTAGGAGCTAAAGTCTATAGCAATGCAGGTTTTTCGGCCGCCATTTTGAAAGTAAAAGGCGGATAGTAATGTTGATGAAGGAGGATCATCCTCGGGTGACCTCTGATTTTATATCAAAATTTGAAAAAAATCGGTGCAGTAGTTTCAGAGAAAATGTGCGGACAAAAAAATTTTTATTCGTTTTTCGAATTCTACGCATCCTGAAACGTGAAACCTCAGGGGTTAAGTTTTTGAATTTTTTGGTCGATCACAATGGTTGATTATTGAAAATAATGAACAAAAAAACAGAATTCAAGTAAGTATTCAATGACCAGCAATATTCAATGACAATGTAACCATGGCAACATATTCCTTCTCCGATTCCTTCATATATTACTTCTCTATGTATCCTTCTCTTACAACATCTTAGAGAGGAAGAAAGCAGGACAGTCTCTCCATACCCAGTGAAGAAATAAAGGTCCCAAGCCACAGAATGTAAAATATGCATACAGCATTCAAAGATTTCTTTTATCTTAAAATGCCTCTGGACAAGAAAAGGAAATATGTAAATGTAGTATATGTATTATAGTATATAAAGCCCTCTTGGTTGACACAAGATCAAGTGACAGCTCGATTGATCAAGTGAGGTTGGAAAATCATGAAATTGAGAGAGTTTACGAGTTTGTCTACCTAGGGTCATTAGTGAACTCCCAAAACAGCATGGATTGTGAAGTAGACAGGAGAGTCGCAATGGCTAATTGATGCTATTTTTCTTTGCAAAGGCATCTTTGTAGTAGCATTTTGACAAAGCAAACCAAAATCAGAATATACCGGACACTTATCAGGCTAGTTCTCACATATGGCTGTAAGAGTTGGATTCTGACTAGAGTGCTGGAAGGATCCCTGCTCAAATTTGAAAGGAGCATTCTGCGACGTATATTTGGAGGGGTCCAAGATACGCTACAGAATTGAGAGAGTACAGAGGACAAATATGGAAGTAAAGAGATTATTTAACCATCTTGATGTGTACTGATTCATTAAACTAGCAAGACTGCGCTGGGCAGAGCATGTTGTGTGGATGGACCATGGAGCAACCCCACAGAGAGTTATGAATGAACTTCTATATGGAAACAGATGAGTGGGAAGACCATGTCTGCGTTCGCAAGACAATGTGGCTGCCGATTCAAGAAAACCACTTGATAGCGGAAATTGGAGGCGGCAGCAACTGATAGAGAAAAATGGCGATCTATGCTGGAGCAGCCGAAGTCTCAAATCATTGGGATGTACTGCCACATAATAATACATATGTATTTTGTTACCTAATAAAAAATGAGAGAGTAAGAAAAAAAAAATCGCCTAACCTAAATTGAACGAAAAAAATAAAATATTTAAAATTTTGATCATTTTTTTTAAACTTGTTTATTGAAAAATATTACACTCTGTCTCAAAGAATAGTTATAATAGTGTTCAGAGATCACATTCACACTCTATGCACAATAAATAAAAATAAATTACACAGAAAAATAATATATATACAATAAATAAGAATAAAATAACCTAAAAATATATAAATAAAAAAAGAACACATACATACCTATATACACTATTTACAATCAGGCGAGAGAATTCCGAGCCAGACTTATCCATCCAATTGTGGAGATCCCTGCATTTCTCTCTCAACCGCGGTACTGGGGCTAAACCCAGTGGAGATTGAGGGAGAGTGCTTTAACCACATACACTCATGTCGTGAGTGGAGAATCTGACCGTTGCCAGAACTCCAATATTTACAAACTATAAAAGGTAGCAGAGCCACTACCGTTTTAACCTTCTTGGAGAATTATATGGATGGGTGGTGCTGGATAGGGATTGTGCAAAGGGATTCGGATGATAGGTAAGATTCTGGTTTAATTTGGAGAATTTTGCTGGGATAAGGTCTAGGACAAATGGGATATTAAGGTCATAGTGTAGGGTTTTGTGTGTTACATCGAAAGGACCATCAACTATTGTTCAAGGGACTTTGGACTGGAAGGATTGGATGCGTTTGATATTGTAAAATTTTGCTGTTCCCCACAGTTCAACTCCGTAAATCCAAGTACATTTCAGTATTGTCTTGTAGATAAGTATTTTATTTTCAATAGAAAATTTAGATTTTCTATTTAGTATTCTGTATAGTTGGCCGTATCGTCGGTTAAGTTCCTGTCTTTTAAGTCTAGTATGAGGGTTCCACATTGATAAATTAATTATTTTAAAGTGAGTATACACATATTTATCCAGCAAATAAAGTTTTATGTATTTATTAAATTGTTGTTTACTTCTCCAAAACAACCTCTGTAATTTGAACAGCCCGTGAAGAAGTTATTTTGGTTGCCTGAGATTGTAGTTGACTGAGATTTAAGGATATCGATATTTACAAATCAATAACACATGTCAAAACCACATGACAACCACATGACAAACAGTCCAGACTTTCCTTTATCTTACTGGATTCCTTTTATTTAAATGTTTTGTCAGACATGATGTTATGAGTAATATAAGGAAGAGAAAAAAAAACAGAACCAGAATAATTGTAAAAAAAAAAAATGGATTTTTAAAAATAACTTTATTTACACTAATAGCGAATAATAACAATAAATTCTAAAAAAACTATCACAAACATACAAAGTTACATAAAATAGTATATTTACAAACAAAATTAGTTATTTAGTTTCATGTTAACTATTGTTAAAATCAATTTTGTACCAAAGATTGCTAACAAAGACAATATCAGGTCCGGAACTAGGGAGGGAAAAGGGATCACTTGCCCCATACGTTAATTTTGAATGAAAAACAATTTTAGGTTAAATAAAAGTTATTTGTTTCTGCTTTTTACTTTATGTCAGCCAATAAAATGTGTTTATATTTATTATGAAGTATATTAACTAAAATACTGTTATAAAACAGTTGACTTTTATCTAGGGCAGGGGGTGAGGATAGGGTAAAGAAGAGGCAGTTTGTCACTCCTGGAAAAAGAACCTAGTTCCGATACAGGACAATATCATTCATAATTAAAAAAATACAATAACTCTTTCATTATAACATATTAAAAATGTGGAAAACAGATTAATTATTTAAATCTTTTACAAAGTATACTACAAACATTTATGTTTAAAAAATAAATAACAAAAATCAGCATGAAACTTTTTTATATCACCTTAGAAAATAAATGTCAAACAATGAAAAAACATTAAAAAAATCAAAATAATATCAAAAAACCTGTTCATTTACATCCTGGTAGTACTAATGTTCTTCTATAATTAGTAATATCAATGTTTTTACTAATACATCTTTTCAAGATAGGAAGTTTATATATAAGGTAGTAAATTAAAATTCTTTAATAATGTTTATATATAAGAAACATCCAAGGGTAGACCTTTAGTGATAAAAAGCCATAATATTCATCAGCCAAATTCTACATTTTGATTTTCAAGTGTTGTATTATCGAAAGCATCTTAAGAAAGGTTACATTCAGGGTTTCCAATTTTGTGAAAAAGTTCCCTTTTTAGGCTAATTCTAATGTCGAGAGGGGAGAAAAATGGAAACAATTTTTATCAATCAAAGCCTAATCTCACAGTTTGCTCTATTTTTTTTAAAAATTTAATAAAACCGGACATAAAATGATTAGTTTATATATATACATATATATATATATATATATATATATATATATATATATATATATATATATATATAATATTATGCATAATTTTGTATATATTTGGGCAGAACGGATTTTCAAGTTTGTTCTGAGAGAAAAAAAGGGGAAATCTGACTGACCAAAAGGGAAGTTAAAAAAAAAAAAAATAGCTGGAAACACTGGTCGCATCTTACAATACAACACATTCCATCCCTAACCACAGTAGAAGACACAATAGAGTTCAAAATAATCATACCTACGACTGTGGATTATGGATTTATTTTTTCATATTGACTAAATAAAGTAAAATAAATTCAATTTTTACAAAAAAAAATTGTTAAATTTTATTGATTTAAAGATATAAACTGTCATTTTCTTACACATTTTCCAAAAAAAAATAAAGTATTTAGTTTTGTTCATAAATCTAGAGTTCCGACTGAGCCTCGGAATGACAATAATCATTAAACATTTGAAGTTTAACTTCTTGATTATACAATTATTAAAATCAACCGTGATTTCATCATTTAACAAAAAATGTTATGTAAAATTGAATAATTTATTTTAGAAATAAATGAAAGTTTTAGGACATTACCTGAGCAATCTCTAACGGTAACTTATCGAATCCAGCCTGGGGGGGTTGCAATTTTTTTTGTTACGGACCCGCAGATTCCAAACTTATTGATATTATTTAGCAAAATAAATTCACTAAAAACTTGAACAAATCTCCAGTAATTTTTAATCGTTCAAATTGTAGTTTTTTAATTTTTTTTTTTTTCGGGATTACCCAATACCTACTACTTTTGGGCCTTATATTTATCCAATCTAAAATTAACGATTTCAATTAATGTAGCTCTCATCCAAATTATTCAATGAAATGATTTATCATAGTTATCACACATCCACAAAAAATATACTATGCATCAAAATCAATTTTTAAAAATTTACAATTATTTACAGGCCGATAAATAATTTCAAAACCAAATAGGCGATTCTCAACAAAACATTTAACAGCTCATGAGTTAATTTTGTACAAAAATTAAGCTAATTCCAACTAAGAGGACTAACTAGACCATTTAAATAATAAAAGAACTGATAACAACGCGAAGGCTACTTGAGGAGAATGTTGAGGAGCAGCTGACTTGAGGTCGGCGGTGTTGTAGAGGACTTGTCGACCGTGGAGCGGCTGGAGGGGTCGAGCGTTGTGGGTCAGGTAACCGGTGTCAGACTGCAATTTTCTGAATGAATCCAGCTTTAAAATATAATGAAAATATTAGTATTAAAATATAATAAAATATGAAATGTTTACATTAAGATCTATATATGTATAATGTCCAGAGGTACCCACCCAGAAGGTTGTTTTATGGCACATCCTGTGCCATCAAAAATTTTGAGGAGGTACATTTTGAAGGATTTTTCAATATTGGAGAGCACATATGCCAATATAATCACAAAATTGAAATTTAATTAATCAAATGTTTTAATAATAACCTTTAATAAGTGAGCAGTATAAACAAATATATAAAAATGTGCAAGCTACCAACCACACTTATATAATTTAATCTGACTTTGGACTACATGTAAAAAGCATAGTTGGCTAAAGTAAGGATATTTCAAAACCTAAAATAATTTATGTCTGTTGATCTTACCATGACATTTCTGGATTTGAATAAAAAAGCAACCTCATTCTATCTAGTGGTACTGTTAAATTACAAATTAACTGGTAGTGTTAATTACAAATTTAAAAATTGACTTAACCTTAACCTAATTAGAGTTATAATTCATAGAATATTAAATTAAATAGGGCCAATACCACCTTCATAGAGCGTAGAATTACATAAAAATATAAAATTAATGGTATTTATCTTATAGATGGCTTACCAGCCGAAACATAGCTATGTAAATTGAAATAAATAAATACAGCCTTATTTTATAATGTATATGGTCTGTAATTTTTTAAACTTTATTTTCACTTGCATTGTTTTTAAGAAGAGAGAGCAATCAAATATCTTGGGAGTGGGGGAGAGGATAGGGGCACCCCTGATAATGTCCATCACAATATATTCCTAATTCAGCTAAAGAATGTCATGCTTTAGCCTTCTCAGTAAATAAGAATTTCAAATCAATAATTTAATAATAGCATCCATGCTGCTTTTCTTCTCTAACAGAAGACTGAAGAGGACTTCAGATACTAGACTTAAAAGGCTACTGGTTGCCTAATTACAAATGTGAACAATTAAATAGAAAACCGCATCTTTTAGTTGATGACAAACTACTAATCTACAAAATGATTTTGAATACAACCTGCACCTACGGTCTTGAGCTGAAGAAGATAACTTAATTTTTGAACATAAAATGCATCCAATTCTTCCAGTCCAAAGTCTTTTGTCCTTATTCATCACCGAATCCTTTACCACAATTCATATATAGCTCCACCCATTCCTAAAATTTTCCTCAAAGAGTTTTGCAAATATGTACATAGGAGTTATGACAGTGGCCAGATTCTCCACACAAGCAATATGCTTCTACGACTATAACATCCTTACACAGCCTCCACTGGTTTTTAAAGACAGAAACTTATTTAAGAGATGAGAGATGAATGTTGGGATATCCTCAAATCGTGCTTGCCCATCCACAGGTGGTGTGTGGTTACAAATAGTGTTTATAAGATTTCACTAGATTCATCTTTGGAGTCCCCAGGCACTCCTATGTCTTCAGTTGCTATGCCAAGTTAAAGTGGCTCTGTTCAGTTTTCCGATCTATTTCCTAGATGTATTCCTTTTCCAAACCTTTACACTATTCTCTCAACTAGGGATCACAGCCCACTAACCTGTATAACTCCTTCTCGTAGAACTGCTTCCTTTATAATGCGTGCTACCTTATTTTGGAATTCCTTACCCACCGCCATAGTAGTCCATGGTACAGACCTCTTTTTATGAAATTATTAACATCCGCCTGAAACTTCATAAATAGCTTCATATCATCGTAATCTACAAATATTTTATTTACGAAAATCCTCGGCATTAGGGTGTTATCAATCTGAAGATCGCCAAACTTTGTCTATTTATTTAAGTACTAAAAACTCATGAATACCCATTTTCTTACCTCAAACCACTTGCATAAACTCAAGAAAAAAGGTTTCCTCCAAAAATATTGATCCGTTTGGCGTGACCTACATACCCAAAATGTGAAAATAACGAGGTTGTGTACAGGCCAAATGTCGCAATATTTTTTTCTCAATTTTGTGATCAAATTATCTTATGATCCAAGTGGAAAGCAAATGGGTACATACGAGTTTTTAGTACCTAATTAAATAGACAAAGTTTACCAACCTCCAGATTGAAAACGGCCCAATTCCAAATTTTTGAAAATAGTTTTCGTAAATAAAATAGTAGATTACGATGAGATTCTACTATTCATGAAGTGTCAGGTGGATGTTAATAATTTGATAAAAAGGGGTCTGTAGCACAATTGGTAAAACTTTAATTTTAACTTCTTTTAAGCACTAACTACTCATCCATGTCTTCAGCAATTAATCTTCAAAATATATGTAAGAATTAAATTTCCGTATTTAAGTGTGTCAGTCTCATTTTACTGTTATTATACAGCTATCTGTATATTGCTTATCAATAAATATATAAACATACTGATATTTATTTATCTATAATTTTATTAGTTTACTAATGCTTATGCTTTATATTAATTCTAATGTTATATCACTCTGTAATTTGAGTATTTCTTGTCACTTTATGCAGAACAAATGACACTTATTATTATTCTTAGGGGACTAAATTTTCCAGAATAAAATTTACTTTTCTTCTTTTTATAGGAGTGATGATTCCCTCACGTGTATTTTAATTGGGAATCGTAAGTAGTTTTCCAGATTGTCAACAGCTCACCAGAGGTTTGGTCGATGGAGGGTCTATTTCCGAAAAATAATATAGGTCCTTGAACACCTTCCAACTGTGAGCAACCATAACCCATGGATCTAGACGTATTTTTTCACTACCTTTGAACTTGAGTCAGTTGGTGGGAAGGACCCCGTCAGGTTGGCCACAAAACGGCCAGTTATGCAGATATAGGTGATCTGTCAATACACCATGGTTTGTAATAATTTAAGGTTTAGTGACCTCCTCTAGACAAGCAATAAAATCTGTAATACCACATCTCCTGACCAGAGATCTATGAGCCTCTAATACCAAAAAAAAACAAATAAATACACACACACACACACACACAGCATTATTAACCTATATATTGATAATTATTCTATAATTCTTTAATTAATATAATTTTAATGTTTATGAAATATTAATATTATTATATACCTGTTTGTGAGAAAGTAAAACAGGATGTTTAAACTGAATCCAGGTGACTACTTCCAGGCAAGGAGGGGTTGTTAAAGATCCGTTGTATGTGAAATAGTTCTGTTTGTTTTTGGGAAGGAAAAAATCTAGAGGAAGCAAGTAAGGCAATTCGACCTGCTCATTTGGATGGATTATTGACTTGAGAGAATCCACCAGTTCGGAATAGGCCTTGTTGTCCCGGTTACTGATCTATAAAACAAAATGGCGTATTTAAGGTATTGTAAACAAACAATGAGGATAAGAAAGAATCTTTATTTTTTTTTACCTCAAAAAATAGTGATACCACTGTTAAGCCATCTTTGTGGTTGAGTGACTTTTCAAAAGAGTTGTATGCACTTTTAAAAAACACCATATGCAGCTCCATTGGAAAACTGAAAATAAAAAAACAAAGCAATAAAAAAAATGTCAACAATACAGTTTTAAAAATGTCATTTATTTAACAGAATACTACACACTGGAAAGACAAGTATTATGCTAGTAGCAGGAAATCATATCATTAATTTGGGAATGAAAAAGTCTTTTATTTTTTAAAAACTAGTTTATGTAATCTTTAAGTCCCAATCTTGGTATTATAACAACCCGAATAAAATGTGAAAAATAGTTTCATTTTATTAATTTGTGAATCATTGTATATATGTATATATGGCTCCATAGAAAGAAATCTGCAAAAACTTATAAAATACTTTTTACTTAAACAAAATCATTTCTTCAACCCTGATCAACATAGAGCGTTTTGAATAGAAAAGTTCTAATTCAAAAATAATTCACTACAACAGCACAAAGATCAAAGTGGCAGGGTAAGCGCACCAGTGATGGATATAGCTAAGGAAATTTTTATCTTTTATGGCTTATGTTGCCGTAATTATTATAGTTATAAACTTCTCTGTTGGACATTTAGAATCTCTAAGTCTCCTTTTTCTATTTAAAACATTAAAATTGAAAAAATATTCAGTTATGCAGGTATAATCTGTATAATGCATTGGTTGGAGGAACACAAGCAGCTATAAAAGATGCTTTCTTAGCGCTACAAGGAGCAGCAGCGAGAATTGGCTTAAAGGTCAATGAGAAGAAAAAAAAGTTTATGCGGGCCGACCCAAAGGCTGAAGGCCACAGAGAGGCAAATGTAAAAATCGGAGGGACGAATTTTGAAGATGTCTCGGAATTTATATACCTTGGCTCGCAAGTTAATGTAAATAACGGTATGAATCCTGAAATACAGAGGCGCATTATGGCTGCAAGTAGAGCTTATTTTGGTCTCCAGGGACATCTCAAAAGTAGAGTGATCTCTCCTAAAACCAAGTTGCTCTTGTAAAAAACCTGATCAGACCAGTATTAACATATGGGTCGGAGTGCTGGACAATATCAAGAGCCCAAGAAACAGCTCTTCTTCGGTTTGAACATCGTGTGCTAAGAAGAATATTCGGCCCAATAATAAATATTAATCAGGAACGACGAATGCCATCCAATGATGAGCTGATGCAGCTATATACAGAAGCCGATGTTGTGAGGCTAATAAAAATTGGCAGGTTGAGATGGGCAGGACTCATTATCCGTACGTCTGAACAACATGTGCTAAGGAAGTTGATGGATGAGCGGATCTTCGCCACAAGGCGGGTAGGCAGACCGAGACTCAGATGGGCTGATGGAGTGAAAGCCGACGCCCGAAGTATCCTTGGTGTCCACAACTAGAAGGCAGCAGCATTACTTGGAGAGGACTGGCGGTTGAAATTGAGCCAAGAGTTGTAGAGCCATTCATGATGATGATGATGAGGTATAATTTCCATTAAAAAAAAAACGCCTTTTCGCACTAGTGATGGACACAACCGAACTTCAATTATTCTAGTAATTGGCAGAGGGTTGGTACCAGTAATAGACATATCTCAGAAAAATTCTATATTCTTTATTTAACTATAAAGATAAAATAACACAAATGTTCAACTTATTCTTAGCAAAACTGTTAGTAGGAAGGTATGGAAAACTCTGATCTGAAGAGCACTATAGAAACAACAATGATAGCCATTTTAAAATTTTCTTTTGGGAACTTTGTTCATAGAGTTGTCAATATAGGGCATTGTTCTTCAATCTAGAAAAAACTGGAACCTTTAAATCAACATGGAAGCTTATTATTTACATTTAAAGTCCAACCTGTCCATAACTGGTGTGTTCACCCTAATATTTATCTACAGATTTAATTTTGTAAATCATCATTTTGAAACATGATACTCAACATCTATCAACAATAGTCACCTGTGATTGTTGATGGTGTCTTCGCTGCCAGAGGAATCATCTGCGCCCCAATGGAAGTGAAGCTGCTGGAAGGTGTACGTCTCCTTGAGAGGTCCTCCTGATACCATTATAGGCTCCGTTCCATTTATTTCTAACATCACTATAAAATAAAAATTGACAAATTTAATAATTAATAAAGATAGTATTATTAAACAAAATAGTAATTAATAATGTACTATGTGATTTTAAACAACAAATTTCTATGGAGTAAATAATTTAGACCTACTTCATGGTAGCTTAATGATTATATTTTAGTTTCCCATTTCTCTAATATAAAAAGTCCTGGAGGCGTGGTTACCTGTGTGTCCATTGTTGGTGAGGGTGCTGGTGTAGGGGAGGTCGGAGGTGCCGGAGAAGTGGAGTGGCGGCAGGCTGACCCTGGTGACCAGGCTCTCCTCGATGTCGATCGGGGACTGGTACTTACCAGCACACTCCTTGTACTCGTTGGCCCACCTGTCCGGACCTGAAACAGTGTAATAATTAGTGATGGGCAAAGCTGTTTAACATCAGTAGCAGTTGCAACAGTTTCTGCTAATTACAAAAACAGTTAAAAACAAACAGATATGACTGTTTCGAAATTTGACAAGCAAAAAAAAAATACTTAAATATCTTATAGTTATAACATTTATAGAATGAAATGTCTGCGAAGTAATTATCAATTTAAATGTTAGTGAAATAATGAACAAATAGCAATTAAATAGAAAAAGGAGTTGCTAAAACTGTTGACTAAACATTAAACAGTATAATGATGTAGAGATGGTTAACCGTGATATGATATGAGAAGGAGTTGATCGGGGGGTGCATTCAAATAAATACTAAATCATACAAATAGTATTATTTAATTTTCTTGCCGACGTTTCGACCCACTTTACACACCAGTGTCTGTAATTTAAGCGTAATTGATTTCGTAAGAGCTAGATTTTAAATATATGTGTGCTGATGGGAGAGTTCAGAAGCCGTTCCTAGAAATAAGATCATATAAGTTCCAGGAGGTAGAATCATTCACCTATCTAAGCACTAACTAAGTTCAAGCAATGACCTCAGCCTGGAAATTTGAAGAAGAATTTGCTGCCGCTAACCGATGCATCTTCAGCCTATCCAAGCATCTACGAAGTAGTTATATGGGCAATGAAACAAAAATACACCTATATAAGATGCCAATGTTGACCTATGGCTCAGAATCTTGGGCTACCACAAAGGCAGGTGAATGAAAAATTGTCGCGTTCCAACGGAGGATCCTGCGGAAAACCAGTTAGAAAGAGGAATGTATGACGCAGAAGAAAAAATCGAGAACTTCAGGAACTCTACAAGGAGGTGAACTCGGTCAAGTTTATTAAGACTAGAAGGTTGCGTTGGACTGGCCTTGTTTCTCGAATGAATGGCTACGGAATTCCCAAACTCCTAATGTCCAAGGAACTCCGCAGGACAAGAAGAGTAGTAAGACCTAGAGCAAGATGGCTCGAGACATCGTCTGTGGACGCAAGAGACCTACAACTGAACAGCTGCATCCCCAGGACCATTGATGCGTTGTCGCGCCAGATAGGATGGTATTTGAAATGAATAGATTATTGCATCCATTTGTTACATTTTAAATTGATCAAAGCGGTCTAAAAATGGTAATTTATTGTTAAAAAAGAGATTTGTTAAGGTTTTATTTATTTGCGTTAATAACCAAAATTCCAACGTATTAGGTTGTACGGAAAATAATGCAGGATTTTAAGTTTTCTTTAATATATCTCTCTATATTTTATTTTATTTTCCTCCCTACCATGCCTTTAAGAAAATACGGGAGTTTGCAGCAGTGACTTGATACACATTTTTTGCATAACAAATCACTGTTGCAAGTTTATCTTTTTACATTTTTACATTGCTGTGCACACAGCCTACTTCATAATTTTGTCTCTTATTTTATCTTCCTCCATCTTCTTCTCCTGTCCTAATCAGTGGCCTTCCATGTACTGCTTCTTCAAGCCTACCCAGGAAGAAGTGGATTGTGCCCACAGTTTTTTTCCATCCGCATACAAAATCCCTCTATATAACAAACTGTTTACGTTTAATGGATTATTCATTTGTATAAATGGCAACATTTATTAATCCTCTTCCACAGAGGTGTCCCTCCCCCAACTTTAATGGCGCTAGAAGGGGAGAGGGGTCTCGGGCTGAAGCTCCCCACAAATGGTAAAATACAACCATGTGTTATGGAACAAATTATCTCTAAAAGCATTTTTTTTCATCTAATTACATTTAATAGGACTTAAATAATCACTTAATTACCAATTCATACAGGTAGTTAGTTTTTTTCTTTCTTCCGAAATAATTATCCTAATATATACATACAAAAAAAAATCTTTCGGGCTGAAGCCACCCCAAAATTAAATTCTGGATCCGTTAGTGCTCTGTAGCATTTCCCTGATTAGAAATAATTTATTATTTACAAAGATGTCAACACAGAGGACGGGTTGGCCGAGAACGTTGAAGCGTGGGTCACAGAGTGCTCGGTTCTGAACGTTCTGGGTTCGATTCCCACCTGGATGAAAATGAAAAGTAACTCAATTTTCGTTTCTCAGCGGCCACGAGAAATGGATCGTGACATTCTCACTCTGGTAAGAAAGCGGCGTCAACCTCAAGTTAGCCGTCAAGGATTGGCAAAAAGGACCACAAAGCCGGACTAGACTCCCCCAACCAGTACCAGTAAGATGTCAACGCGTGATGTTTGTATAATTTTGTTTTAAGAGTTTAAACTCGGCAGGAATAGAGCCCAGACGGCCAGAAACACCTATCATATCTGGGGTGAGAGCAGTGTTCAACGGTGGTTAAAAAATTTCGTGAGGGAGACTTCAGCCTTGAAGATAAAGAAGGTCGTGGAAGGACTTCCTCGCTTGATGACGATGATCTGCGGACTTTGGTGAAAGAAAACCAACGCCACATGTCTCACGTGTGACGACAAAAAAACAAAACTGTTGTAGCTTGGATAGGAAATTCTGCCACATCCGCCCAACTCTCCGGACTTCTCGTCTATGGATTATTATTTTTTTAGACACCTGGATCACTACTTAGGTGATGAAAAATTTAATAGACAAAGGGAATTAAAAAATGCGTTTTAGAGTGTATCACTTCCTAGTGAATGGAAAAGTTGCCAATGTGTTGGTAGTAATTTATCGATAGTAGAGGAGACTATTATAATTAAATAAATCAGTTGTAAATCATATTTTACGGATAACCTAGTATTTTATTATATATATATATATATATATATATTTTTTTTTTTTTTGTTTACTAACGGATCCAGGATTTAATTTTGGGGGGGGGGGCTTCAGCCCGAAAGCTTTCTTTTTTCATAAAAATGACGATTATTTTTTGGAAAAAAAAGAAAGAAACTAACTATATATATGAAATGGTGTTTAAGTGATTCCTTAAGTCCTTTTTAATGTAATTACATGAACAATAATACTTTAAGAGAAATTTTTTAATATATTTTTCCATAAAACATGGTCGTATTTTACCATTTTGGGGAGGGGGGGGGGGGCTTCAGCCCGAAAGCCCCACAAGTAAAGTGTTTTTATGAAATGAACTTATTCTATCTCTTTTTCGTTCTTGATTTCTCAAAGTGTATGTTTATGTTGTTCTACCCTTATATATAAATTTAAGTGTTTTGTTCATAGTTTTAAATGTTTTGTACATAGTTTTATCTGTATTGTATATAGCTTGTTCACCTAAGGTTTTCTTTACTTTTTAGTTTATTTTATAAATTTTATTTATTGTTTCAAAATTTTAGGCCAGTAGTATTCTATTCTTTTGTACAATTTTGTTATTCTAAAGGGACTTAGTTCCAGAATAAAGTTTTTTTTTCGACCTATCTATCTATCTATATATTATAAATTTGTATATCGTTACATTTTATTTTAAATCTAGAATTTTTTCCTTCGACTTAATTAAATGATAAAAAAAAAATAGAAATAAATAAATATTAAATATAAAAAAATCTGTTTCTCTGGCTTCTATTTATTTTGAAAATAATTATAAAAAAATATTATATTAATTATAGAATAGAAATGAATGAGGTTGGTTATTATAACCAGTAAGCCTTCCATTAAGACCTCACTATATAATTTCTTGTAAAGTTCAAAGTTATTACGAATGTCAACAGGCAAATCCCTTTTGTTCAAAATTTTCATCGAATCCACTCTTCTTAATTAATATCGATTATTTAATAAGTTTTGAAATAAAACAATAGCTTTTAGTTTTCACTATTCAATATGCTCTCTCAGTTAATAATTTAAATGGTAAACAGGAAACATGGAAGGGGAAATTGCTTTATAAATCGATATTCGCTAATAATTCAAATAGTTTTAAGGTCTCAGCTGTCACATAGATATAAAATCGATTCTTTAACGAAGTCCAGGGAGCTAATTGTGTCAACCGCATCAAGCAAAGAGATCGCTGTAACTAAAGGCCTTAGTGGAACATGTCGTGGCCTTGGTTTGAAAAGGTTCTAACTGCACTGACTATAATTTTGAGAAACAGAGCTTATGATTATATAATATTAATATTTTATTACTTAGACTAGCAATTTTGCTTGTGTAATACCTTGAAGCTATGAAATTGATTTTGCATTCTTCGATGAGTTAATTCTACCACTTAGTAATATAATTTTCGATATTGAAACTTCACAATTAGAACTTTGTCATCTTCGTGGTGAAACAAGATTCTTAGTGCAGATAGCAGAATTCTAAAATTTGAGATTTTAAGTTTCATAGAGAGTGCAGAGAATCGAAAAACCGAATTAGATAAAAAATATGTTATCTTCTTATTTTTCTTTTAGGAAGCCTACATTTATAAATTTTTTCATAGTTAAGGCAATAATTCTTCAAATTGCCGTCAAATCCCTTTAATCAGATTTATTATCTCTTGCGTTTCGGGACAATTTTCCCATCATCAGAGCAATCCTTATCTTCACTGAAACTATGCACATTTTAAATAAACTATTTTTACAGTACCAATCTACTTCATGTATTGTACAATTATTTACCTTGCTTTTTTGCTATGCCACCATTTGTCAAAAATTCAAATATTTGTCATATTCATTTTATATTTTTTTGGTGTTACACATCTTTTCTTATTTATTGTTACACTAACCAACATCTGGCTATCTTCAGTTTCATTACTGTACTTTGTAACTGTTCTCTTATTTCTTATTATTGCTGTTTGTTGTGTTTTTTTTTGTCTATTGTTGTTTTTTAAATTTCAATATTGTATATCATGTTCGAATAATGTGAACCTAAGTGTTTTATAGTTTACTGTTCTATTATTGTTTTTTGTTATATGTATGGCTTCCAGCAGTTTCCTATTTTTTGTTTTGATACAAGAGATGTGCAAATGCTATTCTGAATAGACAGATAGATAGAAAAAAAAACTTTATTCTGAGACTAAGCATCTGTAGATAACAAAATTGTACAAAAAAATATAATACTACTGGCCTAAAAGTTTGAAACAATAAATAAAATTAATAAAATAAAATAAAAAGTAAAGAAAACCTTAGAAACTATGAACAAATCACTTAAAACTATGAACAAACTATATATAATGGTTGAACAACATAAACATACACTTTGAGAAATGAAGAACGAAAAAGAGATAGAATAAGTTCATTTCATAAAAAAACTTTACTTGTATATAAATATATATAAAAAAGTTAATTATAATTGAATAAAAAAATATATTAAAAAAAGATAGATGTATTGAAAATTCCTACGTCGAAAGCAGGAAATACATGTACTATATCTTACAAAGTATTATCGTATGATTATATGATTGCTACATAATAAGTGTATGATGTTAATAGTTAGCTGGTATCTGATGGTTTTTGGAACAGGAAGTTTTTGAATATGGATACGGAGGGGGCATGCCGAATTATGATCAGGAGGGAATTCCAAAAGTTGACAGAGCGGGCTACAAAGGAGTTTTGGAATGAGACAGAACTATGAGAAGGGATGTATAGGTCAGAAGGTCGAGATCTTGTAGTGAGGGCATGGATTGAGGACTTAAATTGGAGAAGTTTGTAGGCATAAGAAGGACATGAAGGACGATGATCGTTAATGATTTGATAAAAGAATGTGCCTAGAAAATATTGCCTAAATAAAAGATGATGGGGTGGTTATTTAGGTAGAGTGTAGGAAATTTGGTGTGGAATCTAATTTGGGCTTTGATCCAATGACAATGGCCTGAGTTTTGGCCGCATTTAACCTTAATCCGTTTAAGTTGGCCCAGGCAATGAGTCGATCTGAATCTTCTTGAATTTTGGCAAATGTTAACAATAACTCAGCGGGAGAAAAGGATAGATATGAGAATCTTCGGCATAAAGGTGGTGAGAACAATGGATGATTGAATCATTTAGGTCATTAATATAAGAGCTGAAAAGAACAGAGGACATGCTTGAACCCTGTGCAACTCCAGAAGATAGAGGAAGGTAGGCATATAGTGGTTGATTGGGTATGGAAACTGCTACTGAGTACCAAGTATTTTACTCAAATACCGACCTTTTTTGAGTACCAAATAATTTAATCACTACTTCAGTTAATGTCAAACGATCGAATTCCCAATAGTGATTGAATTTGAGTAAAATACTTAATATCCGGTACTCAGAGTAACATTTGTCCATCTCTGATTTGACAAACGTGCTGGAGGGCGGTGCTGATGCTGTCGATGTGTTCCTGGATTGGAGTATCGAAGTAAGATAAATTAGGAATAATTGGTTAAGGCATATAGGAACTTAAATATGTGTGCCGATGATGGCTATTTGTTTGTTTTTTGTATTTCTAATTGTTTTTTTCTGGTTCTAAATAGGATTCTATTTTGTGAATTAGAAGGGATCGAAACGTAATCAAATAAAGAGAATATACTCCAAAATTTATGAAGTTTACTAAATTTTAAATTAAATGATCTAATACCAGAATCATTTATTAAAAAAATAATACTAAATTTAATAACAATACAATAAATAAACAGCCAAATCTTACTTAGAATGTCGGGCATGTCTTCATATCCGAAGTTACTGGCAGAGAGAACCGGTACACCTAGAACAAACAAATCACCATTAATGGAAAAATACAATTTATGTAATGTCATACCTTTCACAGTAAACCTATGTAATTAGTATGTTATACTAATTACTATGTAATTAGTATATTTTTTTATTTAAAAAAATACTGTTTTGAGGTCCTCAGTTCATTTTTACAGTTTAGCCACTTAATCCTGAAACACCCTGTATAAAGATAATTACTAGAGAAAAAGACAAAATATACCAGTTAGCTACATGAAATGGTGTTTAAATGATTCTTCAAGTGCTATTAAATGTAATTATTCCAACAATAATACTTTAAGAGATAATTTTTTAATACATTTTTCATAATAAATACATCATAGTAGACTTAAAAGACAGGAATTTAACCAACGATACAGCCAACTATACAGACTACTAAATAGAAAATCTAAACTCTCTATTGAAAATAAAATACTTATCTACAAGATAGTACTAAAACCTTGTTGGACTTACGAACTTGAACTGTGGGGATCAGCAAAATTTTCTAACATCAAACGCATCCAATCCTTCCAATCCAAAGTCCTTCGAACAATAGTCGATGCTCCTTTCTATGTAACCAACAAAACCCTACACCATGACCTTAATATCCCATTTGTTCTAGACCTTATTTAGTGTTGCCCGAAATCGGTCTTGGTCTTGCATTTTGCAAGACCAAGACCAAGGCCGCCTAACTGTTGCAAGACCAAAACCAGGACTAACAAAAAAAAATCGATTTTTTGAAAGAATGTGTGTTACCAATATACTTTTGCATTTAACACTTCTAATTTTTCATTCAGACTTAGTTAGGTTTCTCATATCTAAAACAATACAGTAATATGTCTCTATTAATAAGTTAATAGGTGACTGCAAGACTGTTACGAGAGTCTTGCGCAAGACCAAGACTCGTCTCGGGCAACAATAACCTTATCCCAGCAAAATTCTTCATATTTCACCAGAACCTTACCTATCATCCACATCCCTTTGCACGATCCCTATCCAGCACCACCCATCCTTATAATCCTCCAAGAAGGTTAAAACGGCAGTGGCCCCGCGACCTTTTATAGTTTGTAAATATTGGAGTTCTGCCACTCACGACAAGAGTGTATGTGGCTAAAGCACTCTTGCTCAATCTCCACTGGGTTTAGCCCCAGTTACGCGGTTGAGAGAGAAGTGCAGGTATCTCCTGGAATCATTCTTTTCCCTCCACAGTTGGAGAGACAAGTCTGGCTCAGATTGTAAATAGTTTATATAAGTATGTATGCCTTCTTATTATTTATTTTTAGGTTATTTTATTCTTATTTATTGTATATATATTATTTTTCAGTATAATTTATTTTATTTCTTGCACATAGAGTGTGAATGTGATCTCTGAACACTATCATAAATGTCCTTGAGACAGATTGTAATATTTTTCAATAAATAAGTTTAAAAAAAATTCATAAATCATGGTGACATTATACCATTTTGGGGGAGGCTTAAGCCCGAAAGCCTACATCCCCCCAGTAGATCCGCTTGTGTCCTCAAGTCTGGTAATAACAATGAAGGCTTAACCAATACGAGCTTTCGATGACAAATAGAAGAATAAATCAGAATGACTGTTGGTTCTACTATTTAAATATTAATTAATATTAATCAATAATAAATATTAATACTATTCAAAAACAAACAATATAATGTTGATGAAGAAATAGCAGAGAGGAGAATAAACAATAGGTCAGGAGGAGAGATATCTTTGTTTGGAACGAGTCCATCAGAAACGTCAACCACCACTGAAGCCCCGATATCGTCCTTCCTGAATTGCACACCTCACAGCCGGTTGCCTAATCGGGTATTATCGTCCTGGTTGCAACAATAACTGAGGCATTTAGTATCTTCATCAACTCTACACCACAGTTGGACAAAATTTATTAGAATAAATAATAATGGGTGATAAATATCCAGGGCACAGTCATTAAAGGTTTTTATTACTGCCGACGTTTCAACCCAAACTTGTGGGTTATCATCAGGGCGTGGTTCGAGCACAGAAGATATTAAAGTATATTCAAGTCAACAGTTATATATACCTTAAATATATTTATATTGAATATTTGATAGTTGACCGTTGCATTATAAATGAAGGAGATGGTCCGGGGTGGCGGGTCATAAATAGGCTAAATAGTGGTAAAACTATTTTATTGAAAGCCGACGTTTCGACCCGACTTTGCAGGTCTTCTTCAGGGCTAGAACGGACAAGATACAAAAATATAGAGAATTGTGGCAGTTACATAATATTTAGGCGTAATTTATAAACAATGTGAATAAGCTTATTAAAATTATAAACAGTAAGGACATTAAAATATAAACAAATTAAGCTGAGTAACACGATCCTAAACTGAAGTAAATAGATGCTAACAATTGTTGTAGTGTAATATATAATAAATGAAAATGTGAATATACTTCTACAGATCTACAGGAGAAATTGAAAGAAAAAGAATATAATATGAAATAATAGACATAAAGGAATGTGGAAAAAGAAAAGTAAAAAGGAGACCAAAAATTAGATAAATAAGTAAATAGTCTCTATAATTTTATTATTCCATTTTATTTACTTATTTATCTAATTTTTGGTCTCTTTTTTTCTGTTCTTTCTCCACATTCCTTTATGTCTATTATTTCATATTATATCCTTTTTCCTTTTCTTTCAATCTCTCCTGTATATCTGTAGAAGTATACTCACATTTTCATTTATTATATATTACACTACAACAATTGTTAGCATCTATTTACTTCAGTTTAGGATCGTGTTACTCAGCTTAATTTGTTTATATTTTAATGTCCTTACTGTTTATAATTTTAATAAGCTTATTCACATTGTTTATAAATTATGTCTAAATATTATGTAACTGCCACAATTCTCTATCTTTCTGTATCTTGTCCGTTCTAGCCCTGAAGAAGATCTGCAAAGTCGGGTCGAAACGTCGGCTTTCAATAAAACAGTTTTACCACTACTTAGCCTATTTATGACCGCCACCCCGGACCATCTCCTTCCTTTAAATATATTTACTGTAGTTATATCTAGATCTGATGTTATATTTAAATAATTAGGAATCTATCGGCCGTTTATTTCCAAAAATAAGTAATAATAATAATAATAATAATAATAAGGCTTAGCGAACCCGAAGGTTCGATGCCGACACCACCAATCGCTTGTTACACACCTCCCTCCACCGTTCGCCGTCCAAACCCAGTCCCTTCAGATCGGCTTTAATGCAATCTTCCCACCTTCGCTTCGGTCTACCCCTTGGACGCTTACCATTCGGCACAGCAAATATTAACCTTTTAGGAATTCTCTCGTTACTAAGCCCAACAACTTTACAAGCCCATTTGATTCGCCGCGATGAAATTACATCAATTATATTACCCGGATACAGCTCACGCAATTCGGCGTTGTGTAGCCGTCTGAACTCTCCGGTTAACTCATCCTTCTTCGGTCCGAATATTCTACGCAATACTTTATTTTCAAAAACCTTAAGACGCTGCTCATCCCTTAATGTAAGTGGCCAAGTTTCGCATCCATAAAGAACTTAAGTAGAAATAAGTAACCTTTTAAGAAAATAAGTAACCTTTTAGAAAATTAAATTAGCGATTGATTTGATGAATTTTCTCTTTGTGAAATCCCACTATTATCCACTTACAATTTGTGTGACTACTTTTCGACCTTACTATGGCAGGCAATGAAAATCTCGTAATTCAATTTTAGTAAACTTTACAATGGAAAATAACAGTTCAACAGTCCTACAATACATAATCATTTATAGTTTAAATATTTAGATGTACTTTCAAATCTCCCGAGACATATATGAGCCTTTCGGTTGACAACATTTTAGTGATGTTTCTAGTGGCAAAATTCATACCTTTATTTACAGTTCTATATTTCAACACAGCAATCAACTTTTCTGGAATCAACTTATCTCATAAAAATAACTTTTCCAACTAGAAATAACACTAAAATTATATTACTCAAAAATGTTGAAATTGGAGTTAGTCATTCTGTCAACTGAAAGGCTCAGAGACTGAAGTTATGTGGTTTATAAAACTAGATTTTTGTTGGCTGCCGTCGATATAATAAATTGATTTTTTGTAATTTTAATGGTCTTAATGATTAGTTATCTGTAAGATTTAAGCTTTAGCTCCGTTTTAAATGCACTTCAAAAATTTTATAATAGCCTAACATTGCCCGAAAATAATTTCTATGAAAAGTAGAGCGGTAAGTGAAAGTTGTGTGTTGCGCGCACCAGATTTTTCCATTAAAAATACTGACTAATTCACAAAATAAATCACAGCTGGTTATTATATTTATCGTCAACCACTAAAAATTTATTGAATGTAAAATTATTGAATAAATTATATGTACTACTGTGTAGTACATCAGAGTTAATAATAAACTGGATTACATGCAATAATTCAGCCACCATGATTGTTCTGTTTGCTCCAGGTAATTGAGTGGAAATACCATCTTATGCGTTGCAACACATATCTTGGTTATCTTTTTGTCTTTATTCTCTTTTAGCTGGATTTTCCCACAGCCTCCACCTATCAAACGGAATAACTAGTTTTTATTAGAAATATATATATATATATATATATATATATATATATATATATATATATAATTATATAAGAGGCAGTGCATTAGTGTAAATGAGTAACTGATATGAGACATTGGGGCCCAAAGTGAAGATTTCTATTTATCAAAATTTCTATTGTCCAGCAAAAGCTTTCACACAAACATTGTTTCAAGGTAAAGAAAATCAATATAACCAATTCCAAATGACTTTTATTAAATTTATCAAAAATATTTGCCTTAATAATGAAAACTAAGATGTACGTTTTAATAATGATAAACCTTAATGTTCCTTATGTTTTAGATCTGGCCCAATCCAGATACCTATCCTTCTATAATAAACTTCAGAATCATCCCAACCCTCTCGTTTTTAACCTTGCTTCCTCTTTAATT